AGTTCATACGGGGTTTTGTTCAGGAGGGACCTGATCATGCACATGTTCACTAAGTAGCATGCAGTGTTGACTGCCTCTGTCCAAAACCCTTTTGCAACACCACTATCAATCAGCATTGTCCTAGCCATGTCTTCAAGAGCCCTATTTTTCCTCTCCACAACACTGTTTTGTTCAAGTGTTTTTGGAGCTGAAAAATTGTGACTTATACCATTTTCAGCACAAAACTCGTCGAACTTTGCATTCTTGAACATTCTTGAATTATGTGCCATGATCAGATCTTATACTCACAACATTATGGCTCATCTGTACTTGGATCTTCTTGACAAAAGCAACAAACACTGAAAAGGTCTCATCTTTGGTTCCGAGGAACAAGTTCCGTGTGAATCTAGATTAGTCATCCACGATGATGAAAATGTACTTCTTTCCTCCTCTACTTGGCACTCTCTTAGGTCCACATAGATCCATATGGAGAAGATCAAGTGGCCTTGAGGTTCTTACTTCCTTTTTGGATTTAAAGGAGGACCTGATCTGCTTTCCTTTTACACATGCATCATACACCTTGTGATCTTTGAATCTTGACTTAGGAAATCCACGAACCAGGTCCTTCTTGACCAACTTGTTCAGCAATGTATAACTTGCATGGCCCAACCTTCTGTGCCACAGTTCAGCATCATTATCCACAACACTCAGACATGTGAGATCCCCATTATGTAGGGACTCAAAACCAGCGACATAGATGTTTTTGTATCTTTTACCAACAGGATAACTTCACCTGTCACAAGGTTTGTGACTGTGCAAGTTTTTGACACAAATTCCACCTTGTTGCCTTTGTCGCAAATCTGAGAGACACTCAGCAAGTTGTACTTCAATCCATTCACGTAATACACATTCTCGATTGAGTGAGTGAGAGACTTTCCAATTCTTCCTACTCGCAGAATGTATCCTTTTTCGCCATTGTCAAAGGACACACTCCCTTCTTGCAGGGCTTTGAGTGAAAGGAAGTCATTAGTGCTTCCAGTCATATGCTTCGAGCATCCACTATCCATATACCATCTTTGGTTGCTTCCTTTCACTGCTCCCTGCACAAGAGAATCAAGGATTAGACTTAGGAACCCAAACAAGTTTAGGTCCCTTGTAATGAGGAAAAGGGTGAATCAAAGTTCTTTTTGTCCAAGCAGGTATCACAAGTTTTTTATATGAGGGACCGGGTTCTTTAGCAGTAGTTACTTTTTCAGCAAAAACTCTATTTTTCTGTTGGGCATGGAATCTGGCTTTGCATGTTTCTTTGAAATGTCCAGTGGTACCATAGTGAGTGCAGAGCTTGTTATCAGGGACTAATGTACTTGCTATGTGGGTTGTAGGGAGTTTTTCCCTTTGGAACCCGATTTCCTGCATGCCCCCCCCCCCCCCCCATTGTTCTTATACATAGCAGTGATTGCATCAGAGGACTAGGTCTACTTAAGGGATTTTTCTAGGTCATTCTTCACTCTGCCTAGATCTTCCTGAAGTTGTCTGTTTCTCTCAAGTTCAGCACACATACTAGATTTTACTAATTTTAGCTCATTTTCAAGCCTAATGTGTGCCTTACTTGCAACTTCCTTTCCCTTTTGAGTGTTCATATTCCTACTTTCCCTTCTTAGTTCCTCGATTGTTTCCTTTAGGTCTACTAATAAGTCATCTCTCTCATGCTCTATAGTTGCAGCTCTCTCAGTCAGGAAACCTTTTTCCTTTTTTAAACTCTCAATGATCACTTTTAGATCAACCACAACCACCACTAGATCATCTCTCTCATGTTATATTTCTCATAGTTCCACAATTAGCACATTTTTAGAGTTAATAAGACTGTGATCTGCATCATTTAAAACATTAGCCAAGGATATAAACTTCTTTTGATAATAGGACTTCAAATTTCTTTGAACATCCAGAAAGTTGACCTCATCATCATCGTCATCGTCCTCATCCTCATCTGATTTTGCCATTAGAGCGGAGATGGAATCATATTCGGCTGCTTCACCTTCTACTGCCATCATAGAGCTGTCACCTTGATCATCATCTTCTCCAGATTCGCTAGAGGAGTCTCCCCATGCAGCAAGAGTTTGTTTCACAACATTGTCGGTGACATCTTTTCTCTTGAATCTTTTGTCAGGAACCTGGTTCCGTTTGCCTCCTTTGTCTGGGTTATGCTTGTAATGGTCTTGCTTGTGGAGAGGGCAATCATTGTCCTGGCTTTCCACATTTATGACATAGGTCATACCCTCTTGGCTTGCTGGAACTGCCCCTCTTTGGAATACCCCCATTTCTACAAACCATTTTCTGAGATCTCTTTGTCAGATAGGCCATATCAGCATCCTCACCACTTGAGTCGATGTTGTCTATATTGACGACCAGGTTCTTCTCCCTTTTGGGCTCTCTTCTCTCATTATCCTTCTTCTTTTTCATTTTATAGGTTTTCAGATTGCCAATGAGTTCATCAATGGTCGGCTTCTGCAAATCCTTTGCCTTTGTGATGGTGTTAACCTTGCTTTCCCAGGAACCAGGTAATACACTAAGTATTTCTCTAACAAGATTGTTCCTGGGAATAATTTCTCCTAGAGAGTGAATCTCATTGATGATAGAGGTGAAGCGAGTGTGCATGTCTTGAATGGACTCATCATCCTTCATCCTGAAAAGCTCATACTCAGTTGTTAACATGTCAATTTTCGACTACTTGTCTTGAGTTGTCCCTTTGTGTGCTGTTTGGAGAGCTTTCCAGATCTCCTTAGCAGATTGACAAGCTGAGATCCTGTTGTATTCATCCGGTGCAATACCACATACGAGAATCTTTTTTGCTCGAAAATTTTTCTCAACAACCTTGCGGTCAGCATCGTTGAACTCCTTTCTTGTTTTAGGAACTGTCACTGCTGGCTCACCAATAGTTTTCTTAGGAATGAAGGGGCCATCGCAGATAACATCCCACAATTCTGAATCTTCAGCCATGATAAAATCATGCATTCTTGTCTTCCACCATTCATAGTATTGGCCGTTGAATCTAGGTGGTCTATAGGTAGAATGACCTTCTTCGAAGTTTGGTGGAGCAGTCATGAGGATCCTTTCTAGGTGTTAGCCTGATAGAAAGAACCTGCTCTGATATCAATGGATAGAAACTAAGGTTCCACCAAACTATATAGAGAATCGGGTTCTCTATAAGTTCCCACAGAACACACGCACACTGCAGTAAGTAAATGATACGATGAAGTTTTACGTGGAAAACTCTCAGCTCACGAGATTAAAAACCACGACCTACCGTTGTAGGATTTCAACTTCACTACTGGGCAAACTTTAGATTACAACCTATTGTAACCTAGGAATTAACCTCTTAGTCCCTCGCTAACTTGTAACAACTCTATTACAAGCCCTTTTGAAATAACTCTATTACAAAGCTTACAACTCGACTAACTCTAGCCAAGACACACACACGAGGTTTATGATTTTACAAAGGTTTCCTACACAATGCTTCTAACTAAGCTAAGTAGGAATTACAAGTAAAGTACTTTAACAAAGGTGCAACACAAGTAAGGACATGTAATGACTCAATACAGGAAACTGGTCCTTCGTTATGTTGATCTTTGTTCTTGATGCCCTTGAGAATCACTTGCCAAATTGACACAGACTTGAGAGAATGCTTGATGGATTCTTGAATGTGCAAGTATTTTTATTTTACCTTTGCTTGATGTTAATATTACATTGGTGACATCACTTGAATGATGCAAGCATGTTAGGTAAAAGGGCATTCCCCATAAAATTGACTATTGCACTGTTTTTGTACTATTGCATGTGCAGGCAGCAACTTTACAGCTGTGGGGTGTTGACTTGTACAGTCAGCAAGGGAACTAGTTTTGTTTCCTCTGTTATTTCTTTGACTCTAAAAAGTTGAACCACGTCCTCGGCTTGAGACTTGTTGTTCTTGAGTACCTGAGGATGTGTAACAGGTTCTGGTTCTTAACATTAAGTTTGTTAGATCATCAAAACATAACAAGGACGCATATAACCTATCAATGGGGAGGGGTTATGGAGGTGTGAGAGGTACAATCATAATAGTGATGAGTAGTGGGGGTTTATTTACATCATAGTTGAAAGTAGTGGGAGTAGTGACATCCACATTTACTAATAATCTTACAATACAAAATATATTTTGTCGGTGATGTTTTATTTTATCTTGTTTATATTCTGTCGGTGATAGCTACAGTTCTCCTTCAAGAAAAAAATGTCCAATTTAGTCTGAATATTATTGACAATCAAATATGTCTCCGTCATATATGCGTACGTTAAATTTTAAACTTCAAGACAATAGCTATTTTAAAAACATAAAGTTAAAAAATGACCAATGAATGCTATTTCTAACTTATTGTCCCAACTACTTATTACATTTTTCTTTCCACATTGAATAATTTTGCCTAAATGATTTTTGTTGTGATTGGAATTGGTCACTTTCCTTTTAAAATGTGGAGTATTTGATAACCATCACTCTCTATCAATAACAATAAACTCTCATCTTGATTAGAGTTGCAGTCACAATCCTACATCTAAGTATGTGTAAGGTCTTGAACCCATCAATATTTTTTTTTTGTTTCCACCGGGTGGCTAATATTCATATTGGCGCCCGATTAAATTTGATTTCGCAGCGGAAAATCTTACATTAAGTGTTCCCTAATAAAGGTGACTCATATTCAGAACTCCATACACCAAAACCAATTTAGACCGTCGCGCTAGCCCAATAATATTTTTCAGCAGGCAATCAGGGTGTAACGACCTAACCTAAGTTGAGCCAAAAACTCGTGAAATTATTCACAAATTTTCAATTATTTATTTGATGAGCTGAATTCAACAACAACTAAACTTTGATAAATTATTATCGTTGAAATCTCGTTAGAAAACATATGATCTCCGAGGATATTATGATGGCTTCTTCCATCATACTTTCAGACATACATAAATCACCCAAATAATATTAACAATAATAATAACAACAACAAAATGAATTCATTTATTTTCACCGAAAGAAAAAGAAAGAGAATATACATTTGAATGTTTTTTCCCATACCGACAAACTATATAGGCAAGAAGCAATCATAGTACAATACTTTTGACAAGAGCCAAAATCCAGTATAGTTTGGCCTGAAAGACATAAAACAATAGGTCGAAAATGGATCTTATATGCATACACCATTCATTACTCAAACGTGCATAATAATTAATAATAATAATAATGAACTTATTCATTTTTAACTGAAGTAAAAAGGAAACAAATATACATTTGAACTTTTATCCCACACCCAACAAACTCTGTAGGCAAGTAATCCATCCAAGTACCACACTTTGACAAGAACCAATTAAAGGTAACATTGACACAAATTTTCCAACATTTAAGAATTACATTGATCCTTTTTTGATTGTGGGAAACGAGCCTATGGCGACATGCTTAACACATACAAGTCGAACGAAAAATGGTGTTTTCAGTGGTGGACGAGTGAAAAGCGGTAATTGATGAATTAATTAAGAGGAGCTAGCCATGGAAATGTGATTAGGGGAATGAGCCATGGCAAAAGGAGATAAAGGGAAATTAGAAGGGAAATGAGTGAGGAAATTATCATTAGGAGATTTAAGATGATCCCAATTTCTTGTTGAAAGAATAGAAGTAGAATCATCATCTATTCCAATGTGCGTTACATGCTTCACATCTGTTGGTAATCCTATTTCCATTCCCATCTCCTCTTCTTCTTCCATTTCTTCCTTATCCACTGGTAAAAAAATTATAAATAAATAAATATCTTAAATAAAAAATAGATGCATCTACCACCGTTCGTCAAAAATATACACAAATATATATAAGTAAGTAATATCTTTAAAGATGTGTGTGTGTGTTTCGCTCTCTTTATATGTATATATATAAAATAGATGGATATAGTCTAGGGGTGTACATGGATCGGGTTGGTTCAGTTTTTATCAAAACCAAACCAAACCAATTATATCGGTTTGGATTGGTTCGGTTTTGTCGGGTTTTTCGGGTTTTTTTTGTTACATGAATACAATTCTAATTTTACTTTGTTAAAGTTATAGATAAAGTTTTGATAAGTTAATATATGTTTAGTAAATATTGAAAAAATTGACAAACATATGATCTATTAAAATATTCTAATGGGAGAATTTTTTTTAATAATACATGATAGTTATTTTCTTAGTCGTCTAACAAATAGTTTTCTTTAAAAAACTAAGCGTATTCTCATTTAAATTTGCATTTTGATTAAATTATTTAATTTGATATAAACACATAGTACCGTATGAATAAATTAAACACAGTGCATGCATTAAACAGAAGGCAGCCAATTCCATCATAGGTATTATACTAATATTTGTTTTTTTTTTAAAGAAAAGTATACTAATATCCAAGGAGAACTTACCAAATAACTGAGACAAGTTCTTGAAATTTTTAAAAAGCCTCTGAAACTTGGGAAGGGCCATATGGCCTAATGTGTTCTTCAAATTTTCACCCTCCAAACTTTTGTCATCTTCATCTTCTTGATCTTGCTCTTCCTCCTTTCCTTCTTTTTGGCTTCCTGAATTATGACAAATGTTAAAAACCAAGATAATCCAAAACTTCACATATAAAATTATTAAGAAGGAGAACAAAAGTGGCAGCGCGAAAGCAGTCATTATTAATGCTTGCATTAGGATAGGCTGTCCACCCTTTGAGTGCGACCTTTCCACGTACTCTGCGTAAATACGGAATGTCTTGTGCATCGGACTATCCTTTTTAGAAGTGATGGGGTGGTGTAGTGGCGGAACTACATGTAATGAACGGTTTCAATTGAATCCCTTACGAAAAATTATATTCTTTAAATAACGCAAAATAATTTTTTTTTGTGGACATAAAGAAACTTTTAGTGTAGTGATAAAGATGATTAAAAAATTACTTTATATCACATGTTTAAATCCTAGAGCTAATATTTTTTTTCATTTTTTAAAAAAAATCATGTTAAAATTTCTGATTCCGCCACCGGATGAATATGTTTGAGAGAAAGAAAGAGAGACATACTTGTGGGAGTTAACTTGAGTTCAGGGGTTGTACTTTTATTAAGCTGATGATGATGACCAACTGCAACACTTGATTCAGAAATGCAACCCACAGAAAATGGAAGTAACACAAATCTTTCCATTCTATACCTCATTATTGTTGTATTCTAACAAACCTAGTAAAGAAAACACACACACACACACAAAAACTTGTCAAAATTTCTTTTTTCTTGAGAGTTTTTGGAAGAAGAAGATGGTTGGTGAAAGACAATAGTTTGTTATATAATGCTAGCTAGTTGCCTTTGTTATTAAGTCAGAATAATGGTACGTATTTAAAAGTTCATAACAAATATTTAGCTGGAAAAAAAAAAACTTAGGATGTCCAAATCAAACGTACACTATAAAGAAGAAATCCCAACTGTACATTCTTCATATTCTCTGTCTTTGTCTTTCTTTCTTTCTATATGTTAAAGATTAACTTCTATATATGATATCACAAGAAATTTTAACACTATCAAGTTATTTAAAAAATAATTATAAGTAATTTTTCATAATAAGCGAGATTATAATCTGAAAATAAAGTGAATAATCTGTTACAAATGGTTCTTAAAATGCACTGATAGTGAAATATACTTCGATATATTGCACTGTCAGTAAGGTTGTTAAGTTGAACTGAATATCCTTCATTTAAAAATTATATTGCATATATAAATATTTTATATATCGGTTAAAAATTACTTTTTATACACAATCAAACCTCTCTATAACAGCCTCATTTGTTCCGATATTTTTTGGTTGCTATAGTGAAGTATTGTTATAAAGGACATATATTATAACATAACATAAAAATTGGTTTCGAAAAAAACTTGGCTTTTATATTGAATGATTGTTATATAGAGATGATGTTATAGAAAGGTCTGATTATACATATATTAAACTTTGAATACTCTTAACGGAATTTCTGACTTTACCACTGTAGTGCATAATATTTTTTTTTTTATTATCTGTGTATATAACTTAAATCCTATATGTTGAGTGGTAGAAAGATGATGGGCTAAATGCATGGTGGGGTCTTCTTCTTTTTACTTGCCACACTTAGAGGAGAAGTCACCATTTGTTTTTGTTGGAAAGATCATACCAAACAGTGCTCTCCCATTGACAATAAACATATATAATCTAAGTTCTCTTTTCCTTTTCTTTCATTTCATTTTTAGTGGAATGTTCATATACTTAAATTGGACTCCACCTCTATGGAGTCTATTACAAGCAAATGTATGATATTAAGTGTAAAGGAATATTAAGTGTAACTAACTTTGGGTCCAAACTTCTTGCATTGAATTATTCCTTTATAGAATAAGATCTTTTCTTTGTACCTCGTGGATATTAATTATAACTTGTGTATAACTTGCAAATGTAGTAAACATTGCACTGTCCTTTTGTTAATGGTGGTCTCCAATCAATTGGCATATATTTTGATTATTTCACCGAATATCTGCTATTTTTCGGTAGTATAAGTGTCGATAACTGCAAAACTTAATATTATACATGTTAAATGGGGAACTCTATGAACAGTGGTGTACGTAAGAAATTTTGTCAGTGCCGACACTATTTGGAAAAGAATAACAAATAAATAGATTACTATAACGATAAGCGGTATCATTTTTATATTTTTATTTTTCTTATAACCTAACATATATATTTAATAAAAAAATTGACGGAGCGGTGTCACGTGACACCGCTGGGGTAAGGTGCCTACGCCCATGTGTATGAATTGAACTTAGAATTCTAGAACATGTTCTGCTTCGATTTTATGATTACCTTGCTATTGCTACTGCTTCTTTTCCATTGATTTTTTCAATTCTGTATTTCTTTCTCTAAACTGTTGTGACTATGTTTGTCTTGAACCGAGGGTCTATTGGAAACAACTTCTCTACGTGCACAAGATAGGGGTAAGGTCTGCATATATATTACTCTCCCTAGACCCCACTAGTAAGATTTCACTGGGTATGTTGTTGTCGTTAGAATTCTAGAACATCCTCAAAGTACAACTCTTTAGTTAAGACATACAAATCAGCATATATCCATAGAGTTGCACCCAAGATTAGCTAAGTACAAAATCAAACTTTATTTTTTGAAGAAATAAAACATTCCTAAAGGTCATGTCCTTACGAAATTTTCTTGATTGAGTTCTTTGATGTGGACATTTACCCAAGTTTAGGCATTGAAGTAGACAAATGCCTATATATTTGTGGGGACTGAAAAAACTAACAAACCTAACAAAAAGGCTACATTATTCTTTTAGCTGAAACTACATTAAATGTTTTGTCTTTCATTTTCCTTTCTAATATGAAACAAAGATAGGACACCTAACTTCTAGTCAGTCAAAATTATTTGAAATAATCATTAAAACAAAGAAAAGATCAATAAATTTAGTGTTCATTTTGGAGGAAGGTGGCTATCATGGGGAAAAGTATGTCCATGTATTATAATGCATGGGTTATTTATGCAATAAAATAATAATATAAAGATTACCATGTGGTTAATAATAATGTAGAGATTAGTTACTGTGCAGTGAATAATAATACATAGAGTACTGCGGGTAACTATTTTAGAGCCTTTTACCCCTCAAATAACCTTATCATTTATCAATATATTCCTTGTATTCTGCATTCTATCTCATATGGAAAAACTGCGCAACATAGCAAACATATGCATTGTATTTACCATTCTTAGCTATACGTTCAAAAAAGTCATAGCTATATTTGAATTTTATAGCGAATCCAACTGTAGTATTGAAACAAGAGATCAATTGTTTTGAACTGAAACAGGATAGCAACAACCTCCCATAGCTCAATTGGTTAGAGTGCCCGCTTAGTAAGCGGAGGTCTTGAGTTCGACTTTCAATGAGAGCATTCTCTTATTCAGTATTTCGCCTTGGTTGTATTTGTTGCGCGAAAGAATACAGTCAATACATGTTGTACTCATTTGCGCAACGAATACAGTTGACACAGGCGGAATACTCTAGTGTAGGAAGTCGTCTCAAATTTTTCATAATTCTTTCTACAACAATGTAAACATAGACCACTGCCCTTTTTCAGCAATGTTTCTGATTCATGTAAAACATTCTAAATACTCTTGCATTTACACAAAAAAATAAGGTAAAAATTGCTGCAGAACAAATAATTCATTTCCCTCTTAAGCCTATTGAAATAACCGAAAAATTGGATTCAGCAATGCCATTCCAGAAGAATTAAGATCGATTAATGAAGCTAAAATCATAGAGGTGGATAGAAATACGATGACAAGGAAAACCCGAGGAATAGAAGCCCTCCGACTGTAGCTACTGTTCGTTGTGAGATCTTCGATGCGAGCATGCTTCCACCTACCACTGCCACTGAAGTACATATAGTGTGTCCTATTATTGCCCCAACAGCAACACCGATTGCATTTTTATGTGTAGCTAGCTGCAGAATGAAGATCATAATCAATTTAACACGTCGCTTGAACTTAAATGACAGACATTAAGCTAATAAGCACGGTATGTTTCTGCAGTAGCTATATTCTTGCTCGAGCCAATGATTACTTTTACAGCTTCTACTTACCAGTAATCTTCTTTACTTCCCTATTATTATAAGCCAATAATTTCTTTACTTATTAACTATTTTAGAAAAATTGCTACAATTTGAAAACGAAGAGATTAATGAGCACGTGACAACAAAGGTAGCACCCAGCTTTTTGTGAGCCCCAATCAAAAGGAAGTAAGAATATCTTACAGCAATTGTAGCTATCTGGCTACGATCTCCCCACTCTGCGAGAAAAGTCAAGATAAAGGACTGCAGAGACGACAACAAATTAATGTTAGTTATTTCATAAATTTCATAGATTTTATTAATGAAGTAATAAACTGATATGGTCGGACCAACAAAATACAACATTTGACACGATTGCAGGAAGCAAAATAATGGGAAATTGGATAGAAATTAGAATGTGGGAATAGGTCATTTAAGTGGTAAACGGGGAAATGAAGTAAACTTGAAGAAGATATGTCAGCAATGCCGTTCCACATATTTGATGGAAGAAAACGTAATATTCTCCACGAAATTAAGAGGAAAACTGATTACTTAGATTCCCTCTTATCACAATTTTCCGGTTCACTCATTGAACGCACCCGTGAGGAAATTCCCTTTTCCTTGACTAATACAGCAACCAATGCATCTTGAAATTTATTTGCACTACTCATCCAAAAATAACCAAAGAAAAGGGCACAAAATTCACTCGTTAAAGAATTTAATACCCCATCCCTCGATGATTGCATATTTTAACCATTGTCGTGAAGTGTTCAACTCAAATTGAGTGAAATTAAAAAAAAAATAACAGACATTCCTTTGAATGGAATACATATTGAGCTCAAATGCACATAAATACCTCCAAAAATATGGGCGTGAACAATCTAGAAAAGAATCGCCTGACTGCTGCTTTGCTCTGTCCAGCTTCAAGTTTTTCTTCCACCTGAAATATTTAATATTCACCAAGGGATCAAATTTACCGGCAACTCTGGATAAAGAGAAAATCAGAAGTAGTAATGCAGAGCTTAAAGCAAGATTATATAACAAGGGAAAAGGGCCTGAGATATCCCTCTGCTTTGAAAAATAGTATTATATTGTCCCCCGTTATACTATCAGCACATTTAAGTCCCTGCCGTTAGAAAAGTTGCCACATTTACCCCTATTTTTAACGGAATTCCACACCAGCAATTAAAATTCCACCTGGAATGCCACGGTGGAAATTAATAGTTTTATCAATCATTTATCAAATTGCTCTGACCCTAATAGGGAATCTACGGTTGTCGTAAATGGTTACAACCGCAGACCACCGTATCCCCGACATCTTCCTTGTTGTGCGCTTCTGGAGAACTCCAAACTGGCTCATCTTCTCCACTCGTCTTCCTCTACACAGATTTGAAACCCCAAATCCCCCAATCTGAAATATTTGGCTGCTGCGTTACCCACACCCCCTCCTCCCAAAACGACAGGTTATTTTTTAGTATATTTCCTTTGTACACTCTGCTTCTGTTAATTTTAGTCAATTCCTATTGTTTCCTGCATTATTACCTTTAAATTTACAAAGATCTGCAAGGCTGTAACTCCAACTAGCAAATTCTTATTTGGGAATGAGTTGATTCTTTACTTCTTGCAGTTTAAGAAAGAAAACATACCAAGAATAAAAAAAATAGAACTGGGTCAATTGCAGAGGAGCTTTGTTGGATATATGGTCTCTTTGTTTCGTGAGCTATACCAGAAAAAGGAGGAAT